CTGGTATATAGCTGCTGTGCTTAGTTTTATATTTTTAATTTTTACTTCATTTCCTTTCTTTTTCTCTCCCTCCCTCCCTCCCTCTGTCCCCCCCCCCAATCAGGCCATAACTTCTCTGGCTCTGGTATCTGCTTTCTGTGGGTCTTTCTAGGCCCTGTAAACAACTGTTGCTCATCTCTGCTGCCCTGAGCAAACAACTGTGTTGCCTTTGAGTTATGGGCAGGCTCCTCCAGGGAAATGGGGAAGTGTGATCAAAGGGATTTGGTGGGCTGGGGAGATGGCTCAGCAGTTAAGAACATACACTGCTCTTGCAATAACCTGAGTTTGGTTCCTAGCACCCACATCAGGTGGCTCACAACCACCTATAACTCCGGCTCCAGGGTATTCAATTCCCTCTTCTGGACTCTGAGGGCAACTGCAATGACATGCACATACCCACACAGAGACACACATACCTATACATAATTACAAATAGAATAAATCTTTTAAAAAATTTAAAAATAAGAGATGGTGCCTGTCTCCTAACAGTCTCATAATGCCTAGTGCTCTCCCTCCTCCAGGCCCCATGTGCCTCTGGTCTGATACTCTGACCCTCCTAATGCTCTTTCTGAAGGGTAATTGGCCTTACCTTCTAGCTCCATGAACCAACCATACCTCATTTTTCATTTTTAGTTACAACATTTGGGAAGTGATTAGTCATGAGAACAGAGCTCTGCTGGGTAGGATTAGTGCCCTATAAGAAAGCAGAGAGACCTGGGCCCTCAACTCTCCACCATGTGCGGACATAGGATGATATCCACCTGCAGATTGCTAGTGGGTCCTCATTAGACCCCAGATATGCTGGCACCTTGGTCTTGGAATTTCCTGATTTTAAGAACTGTGGAAAAATGCATGTTTAAGCCACTCAGCCTGTGACCACTTGCCACAGCAATCTGAACTGAGATGGTCAGACACCAAATCTCACACTGTCCAATTAATGAAATATGTTTAAGCAGAAAATTCCATCAGAAAGCACATGATTTTAGATATGGTTATCAGTTGGAGATGTGTTTGAAATAATCCAGAGAGGCAGAGCATGATGTGTGCATTAGACGGCCGGCCCAAGATGTTCAGCCTCAGCCCCACACAGTTCATCTGCTCTCCATCAGAGTGGACAAGACAGGAGCGAGAAAACAAGAACCCCAAGGAGACGCTTGCCTCTCACTCATCACTTTTCCATTATCTGCATGATTCACTTTTGTTTCCCTTTGAAAGACTCACAAAACTACAGGGGTTGGGAGGAGGGGAGAGGACGAATGGATGAGTCAGTATGTCCACATGAAGCGATCTGTCCTGAATGTTAATCTTTTCTGCAAAGACTTTCATCCTACTTTTATTTATTGAATGATTGATTCATTCATGTGCATGTGTGGTATACACATATATGTTCTTATGTTTGTATGTGGGTGCATTTGCCTGTGTGTGAAGGTGTGGAGGCCACAGATGAACACTGAGTGTCTTCCTCAGTCATTCTCCACCTTATACTTTGAGATAGCATCTCTCGCTGAACCTGAAGGTGACTGTTTCTGCTGACTAGCTGGCCAGAAAGTCCTTAGGATCCTCCTGTTTCCACCGCTGCCCCCCGCAAGCTGGAATCACAAGTGTATGCCACCATGCCTTGCATTTATGTGGGTGCTTGGGATCTGAAATCGGATTCTCAGACTTGTGAAGCAAGCACTTTACCTACTGAGCCATCTCCCCAGCCCTCATCCTACTTTTAGATAAAATGTGTGTGTGTGTGTGTGTGTGTGTGTGTGTGTGTGTGTGTCTAGAATTGACAGATCTTATGAGCACTTTTTTCTATTATATCTAAAATACTAAGGTTTCTGATAAAATAAATTCTCATTGCCTTGTACATTTGATCATTAATTATTTAAAAGGAATTTAACATTGCATTATTTTATGCATATGAGTGTTTTTCCTGCATAGATGCATAAGCACACCCATGTCATGCAATGTTCATGAAAGCCAGAAGAAGGCATTAGATCCCTTGGAACTGGAGTTACAAACAGTTGTTAGCTGCCATGTGAGTGCTGGGAACTAAACCTGGATTCTCTTTAAGAGCAGCCAGTGCTTTTCTCTAGCTGCCAAAAGGAATTTAAAATGTTACTTTTAAAAAATTTTTAATAACTACATGATTATAAGAAGCATTCCAGTACAGCTTTAATATATTCCGTAACACACTCCAGAGCACGAGTACATCTCTTTCACAAGTGGCTGCAAGTTTCTAGGTTCACAGTTGAATTAATAGTTATGCAATATTGAACTCAGTATAAGCCCTGTAAGACATAAAATTGAATGAGTTTTTAACCTTTAAAAAAGATCTCCATTTCATTTTAGAATATATTGTTCCTTTCAGAAGGACTCATTGTTTTTGCTACTAAGACTGAGATGTTGGTGCATGCATCTCTAGTCTGTATGTATCTGATTATTACTAGTCACAATCGGTTGCACTTGGATCCTTGGTGCCTGTGTATGTCTATAAAGTCATCAGGTAGATTTCAATGGTAATGTTTATCACCTCTGCTAATTAGCATGACATAAATTTTTATGCTTCCTCCTCAAATATAACTATTTTTTTTGTTGATTTTTTGGTGTGTATATCGTAGAGAACATCCCAACAATCTTTTTCATCTCTCTACCTACTTCCCAAATGGCACCCTCCCACAGCCTCCCTCCCAACTGGAGCCCTTACACTCTGTCATCCCTGTTACTGTCCACTGTGTTGTTGGCACCCCCAGCTGTTCCCCAGTGTTTGACAATCTTCTGAATCTAGTCAGCCGATCTAAAGATCTTTGTTTTAGGAAGATCAGATGTTCCTCATCTAGCAGCAATCAGTTGTCAACATTTCTTTAGATTAGATTGGGGTCTGCTGTTCATTTTCCAAGTTCTATGCTCGGT